CCACTCCTCAGAAGGAAGGTTGGGCAATCCTACTTCCGTAGTGATACTGCCTCAGAAACCCAAGGAGGGGTCGCTATGAGTCAGGGCTGACTCGACGGCATATAACAACAACAACAACAACATAAATCAAATCATTTCCTCATCAGCAAAATCTGGACAAAAGCACACTTCCCTTGGGAAGATTTGTAAAGATGAAATCACATCATGCATGAAAAGCTCCCAGAATGTTCTTTATGGGCTTGCACTTTACCTTTTAGCTGTGGCACAATGTCCTCCTTTGCCGCATAAGGGTCACAGCGGAAGCGGTCCAGGTAGTCGATGGTGCACTGGCCAACAACTGGCTTCCGTCCAAACTGCCTGTGGTCGATGACCTTGATCACCAGAGGAGGCATGTACAATTCTTCCTTGGGTAGGAACTGGGGGTCACAGAGATCTGTCACTTCTCTTTACAACACCTGATAAGGGCAGCCTTGCCAATAAATGCCCCAAGGGGACCAACCCTGACTCTTTGTATAGCCAGGGAACTGAAATAATATAATGTTGTACAAGTAGCATGGTGGATGGGAGCATGAGCTTTGAGCTAGACTGCCTGGGATCGATTCCTGGGTCTACCATATTGGTTACATGACCTTAGGGGACTTTTTAACTTCTCTGTGGCCCAGTTATCTCATCACAAACCAGTCATATGGTTGCTGAATTAATATATATGGAGTGCTCAGAATATTCCCTGGCCCACAATAAGCACTCTATATAAGTTTTAGCTAACGTAACATGGAATCAGCATCTACTGACCTGGTCCTCCCCACACTGCTTCCTGAGAGGTAATTCCCCAAACTGGGTGAAGGTACAAAGCTTGAGAGCTCTGGTAACTGACTGGCCAAGTCCTGAACAGAAGCAAAACTGAACTTCCCTGGCATGAAGGTTTAACTGTGGCTGGAAGTCTTTAAGCTCTGGGAATTCAGTGCCAAAATGGGATGCCTATTTTTCCTTGACTCCTTCTAGATCCCTCATGTAGAATTTAGGGGTCTCGGTGGCATTGCCTGACTGGAGAAGCATGGGTATGTTGTCCAGGTGAATTTCCATCTCTGGCCTTGCACAGGAACAGAAGCAGGAGCAGGCTGAGTGTCTTTCTGCGTCTGTACAGATCAAGGCTAGATTCCACACTAGAACTTGGCAGGTAGAGGAGGAGGCAGGGGAGCAGGCTAGGATGAGAGGGTGGAGTGGCCCAGCAACAACTACTTTGGGACTCCAGCCCAGACCATCCTATGGTTCACGTCTGCAGCATCCTATGCACAGGGAAGAGCATGGGCTTTGGAGGCAGAAGGACTAAGTCCAAACTCTGGCCACTCACTTATTAGCCTTGTCCCCTTCCTCCAAAGGGTAAAACCCAAACAAAACGCATTGCTGTTGAGTCGATCCAGACTCACAGCGACCCTACAGGACAGAGTAGAACTGCCCCATTGGGTTTCTTAGGCTGTAAATGTTTACGGAAATAGACTGCCACATCTTTCTCCTGTAGGGCAGTTGGTGAGTTCAAACTGCTGACCTTTCGGTTGCCAGCTGAATGCTTAACCACTGTGCCACCAGGGATCCTAGAGTGGTGAAAGACAGGTGAAAATACCTGTCATATAGGGTTAGATAAAGTTGAAATGCATGGAGTAGACAGACCTAGCACTGAACTCTAGCTTTTATTGTTGAAGTTGGAACATAGTCACAGCAGTACAGGAGGTATAGCCTAACAACTTGAATATGTCATTTCCTTTCTGTCGGCCTCTGTTTCCTCATCTGAAAAATGAGCAGTTCAGCCAGTTGGCCCTAGTGTTCAAGGTCTGTGGGAGATAGCCCGTGCGGGACAATTACGGGGACCACAGGGGCAGGGACAGGAGGAAGAATGGGAACATTCTGGTCTTTCTGTCCCTTTCAACTGAGGCAATGGTTTTATTTTTATCCCTTTTATAGACTAAAAGAGACAGGTTTTTCTTTGATAAAAATGAAGGATTTAGATACTCAAAGAATGGAAAGATGGGGTGACCTCTTCTTGCTCCTGACTTCTATGATGGGGGTACTCTGTCATTTCTAATAACTAGATGTTCACTTTGAAGGAGCAAAGAGGGAGCCATCCCAGGGGCAACCTGGAGGTGGGGCGTGGCTATGGACATTAGGGACATGGCCTCATGGATCCATACAGGTTCCTTGGCAGATAATCTTCCCCAAACAGCCAGTCCCCACCTAGAGGGTTCTAGTCTAGGTCCACAGGGCTATGATTGGGAGTTCATAGTCTGTTCTTAAGGGGTTGACCAAGAAAGAGTCTGTAATAGATAACTAAGTAGATGAGACGTTTGTTGGAGAACTAAATAATTATTGCTCTGTGTTACCTGACCTGTCTGAAGCTTTAAGAAACCACCACTGTGGTGTTAGAGTCTAAGAGGAATAAGTCATTGACAAACTGAATACAAGGTGTGGTTTCTCTATAGTCAGACTTTGAAAATGTATAAAACTGTATGCGTGTTTGTGTGTGCACGTGTGTGTGATAGGTATATATTCATGTTTCAAATAAAATTCAGCAACTCAACACACGTGAACTATTAGGGAGTCTTGATACTATACCACTTTCATGAAGAGAACGGAACTTGGAAAGTTGGGTGTCTTCTTCAGGTTTTTGATCACCACTGATTCTACCCTTTCTCCTCCACACTCGACAACCAGACTAGGGGAGGTGATTGAAGCCATCTGGTAGTTTTTCATATTTCTTAAGCCCCAAGCTAGAATCTAAGAAAACAATTTAAAGAGAAGGGAGGAAAACCAGCATGTTTAAAAATATATTCAAACTAAAAAATTCTTTCTTAACAATTGGCACATTCTTTAAGATTGACTTGTGCAGATTTGCCTCAAACCCCAGTGAACGTTGCCCTAGAAAGCCTGCAGGTCATGCAAAGAAAGCTGTTCTGCCCCTTCTGCTGCCTCAGCTGCTCCTTCGAAGCAGAGCAGTTGAGGGTAGGAATCACATCCTGGCTGGGCCATATTTTACAATGTGAACTCTGGCAAGTTATTTAATCTCTCTCATCTATGTCCCATCAAACCAGTTGCTGTCAAATCAACTCTAGCTCCTGGCAACCTCCAACCTTTCTGCTAGCAGCTGAGCCCCTTCACTGATCGCACCACCGGGGATCCCAACCAAAAGTTAGGGGTTCAAGTCCACCCAGAGACACCTGGCTATCATTTCTGAAAACTCAGCCATTGCAGACTCTATGGCACACAGTCCTATTCTGACACACACAGGATCACCAAGACAGAGATTGACTTAATGCAACTGGTTATGTCTCTTCTACAAACAGGATTGATAGTGTTTTCTGCCATAGAGTTATTTTGAGGATCAAGGGTAAACTTCCTTACATAGTGCAAGCATTCAAAACGATAGTTGTTGTTTAAAGCCATCTGCCTCATTCTTTGAGAACTGTTAGCCAAGGAGCAAGAGAATGAAATCCCTGGGTAACAACTGCTTGACTGGACAAGGGGAAGGCCTTGATCATAGGCCAGGTAGGGTTCCCAAGCCACCTGGCTGGCTCCATCAGCCTGTCTCTGCTCTATCTAACATGCTACCATTCCCCATTACTTCCTTCCCACCCTCAACTTCTCTCTTGAGTTCCCCTCCTCTCTGCACAGACAGACACACTGGTCTGAGGCCATCTTCCCTCTCACAGCTCTCCAGGTGACCCCAGACACTCAGAAATCTGCTGGTTCCCAGTAAATGAGGACTCCAGATGCCCTCAATAATGTTGAAATTGACCTCTCCCTGATGCTTTGACAAGCCTTCCATTTTGATGAACATTTCAAATTTTGGATAAATTCACAGGAAGTTGAAAACAGCAAGAAAATGTGCAGTTTTGGTAGTGTAGTGCCTAAGGCATTTGACTGCTAACCAGAAGGCTGGAGGTTCAAACCCACCAGACACTCCTTAGAAGGAAGGTTGGGCAATCTACTTCCATAGTGATACCTCCTTGGAAACCCAATGAGGGGTCGCTATGAGTCAGGTCCAACTCGACGGCACATAACAACTACAACATATGAATGATTACAGTTTTGTAGCCACATTCATTTCATTTGATAAATAAAGCTTAAAGTGCAGCATACCTCAATAGCAGTGAGTTGAACCACAGGTCTGATTCCCTGGGGGACCATGTATAGATTTGGTGCCCTTTGTGAGGGAAGAATGGGAAGGTTGGAGCCATCCTATTAAACAAACACGAAAATGTCAATGCTTCTCTTCACTTTAAGCAAACTGTGCCTAGAATTACTAATAATTAAGCAGCTACTCTAAAAGAACATATGAGTGAGCACTCAGCAACTTACCTTGTCCCTCAGAATCAGCTCTGCAGTTACAAGGACATCCCCACAGGCCTTGTCTCCATTTATTACTGGGTGCCAGAGAAGTTTGGGGGTGATGTCCATTTCTGAGTTTAGTTTCACCAGAGGAGAGAAAATACTGCGTCCTAAAAATTCATCTTTGCTCTAGAAAAACAAGCAATCCTTAAATTCTTTAATGAACATCTTTTCAAATCTCCATCGCCAACATTTTGGAAAAAGATAGAGATAATGGTTGCACAACATGAAAAACGTAATCAACATGTTATTGAACTGTAAATGTAGCAGCTGTTATATTGGCAAATGTTTTGGTTGTGTACTTTTTAACTACAATAGTAACAATAATAAAATCTCCATCACCCCCCAAGCTATCTTAGAAATTCTAAATTACTTACCACTTGGTCATTGTCAAAAAGTTCGATGACAACTTTGGGTGGGTTCTGTAGGACTGTCTGGGGTTCTCCATAGATTTCAATTTCATCAAATATAATTGTTTGGTCCCATGTGGGGTTCAAGGTTGAGTGGATGATCTCAGTTGTTTTGCTTCGATGGAGGAAGGAGACATGAGCATAAGGATCTAAAACAGGAAGAGAGAATGACAGTGGGGCCATGACTCAAGTTCAGCGCCCAGCACCACTCATTTAACCACATGCTTTTCCTCCTGCTACAGTGATTATGGACCCTCACCACCAACCTGGAAAATAAAGGTTCTAGGGAGCAGGGGGTACAAAGGGTAGGGCACCAAAGTGATGGGACGCTTGTCTGCAGTAGAGGCACATAAAAGCCCTGAGGTCTGCTGGGAGTTCTCTCTGGAGATGGTCCCCATCAGGCTAAGTGGACACACAATCTTCTGAGCCAGTTTCCTGCACTGTGTTAAGAGAACAGGCTCTGCAGCCAGAAACGAGTTCAAATCCCATCTGCCACATGACCTTGGAAAATGCTTAACCTTTCTAAACTTTGGTTTCCTCTTCCATACAGTAAAAGAAATAATACCCGCTTCATAGAGTTGTGAGGATGAAATGATACAAAGAATGTAAACTACTTAGGAGAGAGCCCGTCATATAGTCAATACTTGATAAAT